GCTTAGTCTTTTTACTGCCTGTTTGTTAGTCTGTTACTTATATTACAGAGTTTATTACGGTTATTAATGTGGATTATACTGCAGAGACTAATCTGCCTGGCATAATCCAAAGACGTTCAGGCAACCCTTCCTCTGATAAATGAAAGCCTTTTGAATGTGGATGTTACTCAGTCTCAAAATATTGAAATTAGTTAAAACTTTAGATTTGTGGGGGAAAAAACTGTTACCACTTTTGAAAGTGCTGTATCAAGTACTTGCAGACCTAAGCAGCATTTGTTTTCAGACTTCATTTGCTGCATATGATTTCAAATAAACAAACTCGCAATCCACGATTTCTGGCTTTTATAAAAGTGCATTTATTTATATCTTTATATTCCATAAAATTAACGTGTTTGTTGACATCACTTTGAAGTTTTCCAGCACTTAAAATGGGACACTAATAATGTTTAATTTCTTCAAAAGGCTCCTTATTGTTCCAGAACAGTCGGCCACTATAGTTTTTAACCAACGGTACTAAAACAGGAGTAAACTATACATTTGTTGGAGACTATTGTTGGTGCTCTAGGGAATTTGCAGCAGCAGGACAGAGAACTGGATGTGATTGTCTCAAAATAAACTACAGTGTGTGTGTCTGTGTGTGTTCGTGGTGATGACGTAACATGCCACCCAGTTCTAAAATGTTTCTCACTAATGTGTTTTTAGGTAACAATAGTGCAACAGAGGAAGAAGATTAATTAAGACTATTTATTTTGTGTCTTTTTGTGTGACCAGCTAACAATAAAAATAAAAAAAAATACAGAATCGCCAGTCCTTAAGCAGCATTTTCAGGACTATATTTCAACATGTATCAGGCTCTACTGGTCGTATTTCTTGGCTAAAGCTGTACAAAAGCTTTTAGAATCCTTTACATATGCCAAGTGAAATGCCACCAGTAATGGCAGCTTGTTTACTTGTACTTACTTCCATGGATTAGTACATAGAGTCATTGAGAAGCCACAGAAAGTTTTTTCTACTCCTGCCTGGCCCTGCTGAATCAGTCACATGCAAGTGTGTTCACAGCAACAGGGAGAATCATTCTGGACATCCAGGGTGTATAATTGGAACTTTCAGTTGTGTTTTCTGTGTGTGTGTGTGTGTGTGTGTGTGTGTAGCATTTGCTATCAATCAAAATACACTCTGCCGCCTGAGTTGCTTTTTTTGCCTGCATCAAGAATGTGTTATTATTAAACAGCTCATAAACATCATTGCCACTGGTTGTTGATTAATTACCCAGAATGCAGCAAAGCGACGGCGACTCTGTTGTGACGCGGAGATTGATCACAAAAAATGAAGTGCTTGTGACTCAGGACAGGGTCCATCTACTCTCAAATAGAAGCATAATGAGGGAGAGGAGGGGAGCATGGAGGAGCAGAATAATAAGAAGAGAGAGAAAGAGGAAAGGAAAGATGTCAGTGGCAACTTGATGACAGCAGGAGATGCAGAAGCACAGTTTAGTGACTCAACTTTTTTTTACCGCATAAAGCTGCATGCATGTGCATACACGGTTTTCTTGTCGGTCCCTAAAATGAACAGCAACAACACCACAAGTAACTAAATATTGATCGGTCCTCCCTGAGCCATTACAATCATAAAGAAATTCCTAGGGAGATTAATACAGTATATTGGCATCCTCTAATTGGTTCCTCTTAATCAACAGTGTGGTTTTGAATGAGCCTCACAGGGTCATCAAATGTAATCAGCATGTAATTAGAGTCAGAATCAAAGTTCCATTCATTTGCCAGATACAACAGGTGCAAATAATCTCACTCGATGAACTGGTGCTGCAGTGCTGGAACAAACTAGCTGACTGACACAGCAGAGCAGGCAAAGATATGATCTCGATCTCACGTAGAAAATATGGAAACGGGTCAACAACACCGTGACACAAATACAGCGTGTGTCTCTATGTTTGTTTCATTCCACGTGTTTTTATTTACAATTTCAATTCACACAAATCCACTTTCAAATACTTCTTCTTCTAGTGGGGCCTCCACTCTACCATAAAACATAGAATGACTTTCTCAGTTATATTTAACTGCAGCAACCCACAGACTGCGCCTCACCATAGCAACTAATAGGCCATTTTCACAGCAGACATTTTGACTTGTTATAATAATAGGAAAAGCACAGGTGTTACTATTAACATTAATGATGGCTCTGTTATGCTCAGGTGTCTTCGCTAAGCTGTGACAGCCACACACCCTATATTTGGGGTGTTCCCTAACCCTAACCCGTTTTCTTTTCCTTTTCTTTTCATTCTTGTTTAAGAACGATTCAACATTTGGAAAAAAAACATACCTCGCACATTTACTGAACATAGCTTGGAAACAGCTGTCTGTTACTGTACACAAAAAACTTTTTAACTACAATTTAAAACAGGTATATGATGTGATAATATAATGTTTTTTTTATAACGTCAAAATTCCATTTCTCTTTAAGTGACAGAAGAAAAATAACTGTGTTTGCGTTTCATAGCCATGTGTGCTCTCAAGCTGTGTCAAATCCAAGTGAAACTTAGATAAACCGAGCTGAGCTTACAATAAATTGAGCTGCAGTGTTGTCAAACACTGTTAAAACTCCATAAGAAGATGATTATTGCCTCTTTTTTGTGCCTTTTTGTATGCAAACAGCTGGAACAAACAGCTTGTAATCTGTCTTAAAATCTGTCTCTCATCCCTGTGGCTTCAACGCAGCCTGACAGCACAAGTAAGTGCTTATAAGAAGTGTTTGCTGTGGCAGCAGTGTGTGTTCTCACTGCAGTGTTCCTTGTTAGCGCTGACTGATTACATTTGTAAATACAGTTTGGATTATGTGTCTCTTTGCATTTGCAATCAAATGTCCCTACTATATATTACTACAAATTGTGTCAGTGTGGAATCTAATAAAGGCAGAGGAGTGTATGGAGTGTATGTCGGCTGCCTCAGATGTGTTGTAGAGGTGCTGCTGTGCATTAGCGGTGACAGATGTGGTGTTGGGTCACCTCAGGTTGTTGGAAAACACCCAAGAAACTGAAACATATGAGATTCTGAATGTCTTTAATCCCCAGCTTGCATTGGCCGCTGCTCCGAGAGAACATTGAAATGATTGTGAGGCTCGGTTGGCTGAACAGAGTTAAATGGGAATAAAACAAAGAGACAAAAAGTGACATTTGGTGACTTTTTTAAAATGCTAAACACTACATCAAGCCTAAATGCCAGACAAAGTCATTTACAAGACCAGTGACCAGTGGTGAGCCTGTCCTCTGTGACTAATTTGTTACGCAGTTATGGTGACAGATAAAGTTAATATAGTCAGTGTAATGCAGTAAGATGACCAAACTACCTGACATTATTTTCTTTAGATCCAGAGCATTTCTTTACACGTGGGGAAAGAGGACTGTTTGTTATCACAGTGTCTACACTGTTGTTCACTTGTAATATGAGCGGCTGAAATAAAAACCTTGCACTTCTGTTGCAGTGTAAACTATGATGGCTGATCAGGTCTTTGTTGTGACACATTTTATACTTCAAACATAGAGTAAAGTTATCCATGTTTGCATACAGAACAGTATATGCACAATATTTCGTGCTGCATAGCAGTGAGATAAAGCCAAGCGAGGCAGACGTGCAGATCAAGTACGTAGGAAAAGTGCAGTTTGAGGTTGAAATGGTGTTTCAGTTTCATTCAGAGGGTCTCTGGCACACCTCAGACAGTTGACCTCAAGGTTAAAGCTACAATACATCAGCTCATTATAGGAGACAGGAGGTACAGTCCAAGGTGGTGTTTAGTATGGACATCATTATAGTCCTTCTGCCGCTGCCTCCAGGCTTTGCCCTTTGATACAATGTGAAATTACTTGTGAAAGCCTTGTCAATTACATATTAAACAGTTCTGGTCTTGAACCTTTCAGTGAGCAATGAATACTTTAATGTTTATGTAATTATTTCTGTTCGCTGCCCAACCGGAGAAAGTCACAACTTTTAACAAGAAACCTACCGCCTGATTAACTCGCTGTGATCCATTAAACATCTCACACACCTCCACCACCTTCATCTGTTATGTTACCTCTCTCTGACCTTTGACCTATGAACCTGTGCATGTGACAGTCTCTACCTGGTCCACCCTTGCCGCCTTGCTCAGTCCCCCCCACCACGCCTCTGTGTGCTCTCCCCTCCCCGCAGGTCGGTGACCAGATCTTGGAGGTGAACGGCCGCAGCTTTCTGAGCATCCCGCACGACGAAGCCGTCAGGGTCCTGAAGTCGTCACGGCACCTGATGATGACGGTGAAAGACGTGGGCCGCCTTCCGCACGCCAGGACTGTGGTGGGAGAGACCAAGTGGATTGCCAGCTCGCAGATCGCAGAGAGCTCCGCCAACAGCAGCGTGGCAGGGTGAGTTTTTATTAAGCACACCTCCTCTGGTCCAAGCCTACTCATAAAATAGCCAACAGAGTACACTACTGTCAATACTGTCATTTTTGTGAAATAAGTAAATCTAGATTTCCACATATTAATGACAGCATTTATAGTTGATTTATTACTAAGATTTATAATGATGACATTTTGAAACCTCAAAACATCAACTGAAAATGCTATTAATTATTTATTATTAAGCAAATAACTCTTTTGAACTCTGTAAGGAGTTAACAAACAAATAAAAGTGAAAATGGATTTTGTTTTTCAAAATGTTTTCATGTAGGGGATAAAAAGAAAAAATTATAAATCAGATGGAGCTGAACACAACTCAAGCCAGATGAGCTCGAACAAAATCTTTAGGAAAGAATGCTGATTTGCTTGCTTGTCAAGAATTAGACGAGTAGATTGATACCACTCTCATGTCTGTACTCTCAATATAAAGCGTCAAGAGATGCTTAGCTTAGCAACATCTAGCCAGGCTCAGTGCATTGTTAACAACTTAAGCTCACTACTTAACTCGTTATTAGCTACCTCGTTTGTTTAAGTGTAAGGGTAAAGTTTAAAAACAACACAATGTAGTTTTACAAGGGGTTATGTGTTGGAATATTTCTTTTAACTTCCTGCAATCTCAGCTGGTTGTCTGGCATCCCCATGGTGACAACAAGACTTCCTTCTTGGTGCTAAGCTTGGCTAACCGCCCTGATGCCTGTAGCTTCTTTAAGCGTACAGACATGAGAGTGGCATCGATCGTTGGCTTTCAGAATGAGCAAATAAGCATTTTTCCTATGTCGAATTCTTCCTTTAAGTCTGGTCAGGCACGGTTCAGTTTGGGCTGAGAATCAGAGCTAAAGAAGGAAAGTAGGCCTAAGTTAAGAGTAGAGGAGTGCTTTGTTATACTGTACACTGTAGGTTACTGATTGGATAAAAAGGTTTGTGAAGAGTTTTTTTAACTAAGGCTAATGCATAAAGTGTATATAGGCAGTATTTTCAACTCTAAATGTAAATTCTATTTATCTGCACACTTTAAATAATTTATTCAGCTGTCTGTTGGTCTTTTCATCATTGATCATTTTCATTAGAACAGTCTGATATTTACTAAGCCTGCCTAGCTGCAGAGACATTCAAAGGTTATGGGAATCACCAACAAGTAAAGAACTACCATCATTTTACTATAACTTACTGACACAAGAGACATTTTATTTTTACAGTATCTGTGGGCTACATTGATTTAATTTGGTTTGTTTAACCACCCAAAAATCTCTTTTCTTTTCACCCAATTTAGCCAAATTGAAACTATGCTAGATTCAGTGATGAAAACTGGCACAAGAAACAAACTTGAGACTTGAGAGCAGTGCAGGAGGGAAAACTATTCACAGAACATTATGAAATAAAACATCCTCTCTTTCTTAGACTAAAGTAGATGCCACAGTCTTTAACCGCCTAATGTGATCAGTAGTCCGTCTCTCAGATGAAAGTACTCTCATTTGCTCCTTCTTTTGAGAATAAAAAAAAAGCAATATGCACCACTGCTGGAAAAATGCCAGAGCTCTTCTCAAAATGCCACACCTGAGCAACTCATCTGCAGCTTGTGACCTGGAATAAATATGATCCCCAACAGCAAAATTAAAGTCTGATGTAAATGCCGGACTCATTTTCTCATAAACACAATAAGGCACAACCCGTCAGACTGACAACTCAGAACTTGTAATTCCTCTCTGATTTTCCAAAACCAACAGGGATATAAAACGTATTTAACACTTATATCAACAATGAATTTCTGGTCGGATCTGAGATGTTCTGTTAGGGTTATTACAGAGTTTGTTTTACTCTGGTATCCCTATGCAAGAGCACTTAGACATGGCTGTTTAATTTGAGACTCCTAATATATTTACATATATCATGAATAATTTTGAATAATTTCCACACAGTATTTAATTTTGTTTTCAAACTTGTAATAATCTAAAAATTATATATAATATGAAATTGGAATATGCACCATGCTGCAGGTAAAACAGTTAATAGTTTCAATGTTTTTGTTGCATACATAAACTTAGATGAATACCATAAATAGATTTCCATTATTCCATGTATTTATTTAACATTTTGAATCTTTTTAAGTAAGAAAAAAGTTGCAATCTTTGGTTATATTCTAGCTTGAAACAATGTTTTTACTACAATTACTAATTTGTTTTTTTCTGTCTGTGTTAGTACCACATTGCATATTTTAAATCAGTGAGATTACAGTGCTGCTCAGTGTTTCATTTAGTATGTCCTTCTTCAAGACTGCCAATTATCTGGCAGTATAAAAAAAAAGCCAGGGAGGAGACATTGGAAAAATCAGAATGAAGAGAGAATAAACAGCTGAGTTGGTCCCCAAAGTCAACCGGGCTAATTGAATTTGAATCCCAAAACTGGTCTCCAAGCTGAGTTTAATGTGCTATTGCAGGTGGGACTGCAGTATTTTCTGACTCTGGTTTAATTATATATTTTTTCATTATTTCTGGCCCACGGACACCGCGCTGTGAGTTGTCGTGTTTACTCATGGATTTAAAGCCTATTACTTCGTGGGCACTTGAGTATGTAAAGACATCTACTCGAGTCATTTCACTCGGGAATGAATATGGAGCTGGAAAAAATGACACGTTTCTAAACACTTGCTTTTATGTTTTCAGGGAGAGAGTGTCGCTGTGTGTTTGTGACATGCATTTTGATGTCTGTGCTTTAAATTTAATGAAAATGCTGACTGGAAGACATGCCCACCTCATGTTTCCTGTAAAAAATGCCTCTCTGTGCAGCGGTTTTTGACACATCTCTAAAGAACATGAAAGCCATGACAGAGATTTAAAAATCTGTGCTACTGTGCATTTATCAGCCTGTGATAAATGAGAAATATATTCAGAAAGATAAAAAGCTGTCAGTCATGATATTTCAAATCCTCTTTTCCATTCCTAGCTCCAAACTGTACATGTATGTGTGTGTGTGTTTGAGAGCGAGAGGACAGCATTTCAGTGAGGAAATTGGTAAAAATAAGCTGTTCACTTAAATCAGTTTGATGGGTCTCCTGTGTGTATACATACTGTAAATGCACATCAGTTTGCCTGTAACTATAGGTTTTTACATTGCAGTGCATGCAAGTCTAAAGGTACCTTCAATCTGACAAAACTCCCCCTTCCTCGTCATTGTATTTTAATCACTGCACCTGTCGCATTATTTAGTGCATCATGATTTTTTAATATGCAGTCAGATGGTTGGATATGTACGGCAAGCTGCAGCATAAAGATCAAATCTGTTTGAAAGTCGGACTTGAGCGCTCCATGAATATAATCCATGGCAATGTGAATGCATGTGTGGACAAGTGAAATTGTGTGTGTACGTGTGTACGTGTGTGCGTGTGTGCGTGCGTGCGTGTACATGTGAAGACTCAACTGTCCCTCAGTGATTAATTTGTCCTGTTCGTTTTTTTCTCTGCAGCTTCTCTGTGGACAAAGGAGCCTCTGCAGCAGGAAAGGTGAGATTCAAAACAAGTCATTTCCTCTTTGTGTGCGTATGCTTGCACACTAAATACAGGACTATCTGTGTGTTTGTGTGTTGAGAGTTTCTCTTGGGACATGGTTATCTGTCTGTTAACTCCACCACTGGCCTAGGAAATGGCATGGAAGAGTGACAATGGGTCAGTGGAGTCACTGATTACTCTTTAGTCAGACTGTTGTCATTGATGGGAATGGACAAGCTGTACCCGTAAAGTCTTACCTTTTACCTCAGACACACACTTTAATGTCTTGAGGAAGAAAACGTCACTTATTGTTACAGCAACATGAGTGCTGTTTTTCTTCCTTTTATTAATGTGTGAGCCCAAATCCCAATCAATCAACCCAAACACAGAGGAATTAATAACAATGACAACAATTTGACCTTAACTGGTTATTTACAGACATTTACATTCCTTTTGTTGCTTGTGTCATACAGTATGATAACAAGTGGACAGAGAAATAAAAGACGTGAAGACATGGAGGACAAAGAAGCTGTTGCAGCACTGAAATTATTAGTCAGTTAATTGGTTAGTGGATCAACAGAAAAATGAACAACAGTTTTGATATTTGATTAATGTTTTAGGTCATCTATCCAGAAAAAGGTTAGTTGAAGTTTTTGAAATGCAAGGATAGGCTGCTTTTCTTTGTTTAGAATTGTTCTAAATTCATGTTACACTGGACTGAGATCCTTTTGATGAATGAGTAATTAATTGAAAAATAATTGAAAAATGAATCAATTATGAAAATCAGCTTTAACTATGATGTTTAGAAATTGACTAAGCAGACCTCTTTTGTGTTTTACATAATAGATAGTACCAAAAGGATGTCATGTTTTGCTCTTTAGTGATCAACCCTCAAGTATTAAAATCTAAAACTGAAACTGGGTACTCTAAGGTGCACCAAAGTGTGTTACTAACCTATACCATGCTGCCCTTAACTCACTCACCATAGTGTACTTCTACTGTCTTCTCTTTTGACTTTGACTGTGACTTTGTAAAGGGAGAGAGAGTGTGTTGGTGTGGAGAAATAAGAGGAGAGGGGAGAGAGGAAAGTTGGAAGAGACAGCAGCTGACTGCAGAGAAAGAAAGGGGGCGAGAGAGAGGGGAGGAAGGTGAGTGGGAGAGCTCACTTTTCATTATGGAGGCTCTGATGGACAGTCTTCCCCTGACAGGGGGAGGCGATATACTGTAGCAACGCTGGAAGAGAGAACACAGAGAGAGAGAAACGATGGCTGTGGGAGGTATTTTGAGAGGAGGAGGAACACATTTCCTTCAGACTTGTGTCCAAAGAGGGTTTAAAAGTAATTTATAGACTTTGTTTTGACCTGTTGCCATACAACACAGCGACAGGGTGCACGGCAGTGGCTGTGATTACCTGCCCTTTTTGTCAACGGTGCCCTTTTCAGACAGAAAAAGACGGATTGTATAAGGGGCAGGGCTAACTGATAACTGAGATAAATGGGACTAAACAATCTGCTGGACATTTAATAGACTGCAGTATTTCCTCTATGCAGGCTGCCAAATTCATCTACTCACAAACCAACAAATCTTCATATGCCTAAACAACAAAATAGATTGTGCCTCCAAACTCTGTTGTTAAGGTCTAAAACTTACTAGGAACTCCACTCCTCTCCCTAATTTCCCTTCAGTTTCTTTGTGATAAGCAGGAATCTTTTGCTCAAGTTACCGATCATCATGAGCATTTTTTAAGTTTTGCTGTCATATCTTCAATTCAACCAGCGATGCATCCGCACCAGTTCACATACACTTGTGTTTTTCCATTGACTTTGTGTATAACAGGCCACCACAGACACTGAAAATGTTGTTGTTTAACCACATAGCGCTTCTTACCATCTTTGTGAATTAGCAAATTTAAGTACAGGTCATTTAGAGCATTTGAACCAATAACCGCTGCTGTCATCTTTCTGCACCAAACACTCTTATTAACATTTAAATGACTCTGATACTATGACACTATGTTAGTGGGGTCAGTCAAAGCATTGCAGCTACAACAGCATATGAATAATCTGATCGGTGGATTTCACGCCTGTAATACCAGCAGCAATGCAGACTATGTGTGGTGGTCATGTGTGAAAAAGCATTTCTGCTCTTCAGCAGCCTCCACTAAGTCAGCCTGGAAAATTTATGGCCACTTGGTTGCTTTCATCCTCTCCAAGAATTTACAGGACACTTCCTACCCAGTCTCTTATCCAGTGTGTTGCAGAGAAATAACTCCTTCTGATGAAAAACTGGCAGAACTGTGAGAGGTGCCACACTGCAACTGCTGAGGAGGGATTGGCGACTGGACTGGAGGACGAGGGGGTCAGAAATACTGGTTTAATATATTTTCACCCCTGAAAGGTTGTCCTTGTACAAAGCTCAGCACTGACTTCCCTTTCCCCATCATGCGTGGGAACTGTACTATTTTTGTGGAAATGGTTTTTAGATGATTTGTTTGGCATTTCTGGTTTATTCCACAGTTCACTGTAAAATCAAAGGTCCCAGGTTCAGTCAGAGCCTTTGGTGTTGCAGTTATATGACTGGTTTTGTGTGTGCGTCATTGCCAAACACAAATGCAATGGGAGCTAAGAATTTGATACAAAAATCAGTATGAATATTTTCAGCAGCAGTGCCATAGTTGCAAACAGAGCATAACATTTCTGATTTGTGATAATGCAAAATAACCCAATCCGTCCTTCTATTAGTCCATTGTTAAAAAAAATACATGCATACTGGTGCAGTTTGAGCCTAACCTGATTTCCCAGATGAGGTAATGTAGGGGATCAATAACATTTATAAGACATGATGCAATCCACTCCAGTTTAAAAAGTCTCATCAGGTGTGAGATGTTACACTGGCAGTTCATTTAGAAATCCCTGACTGAGGGGAGAGCAAAAAATAAGCCAATTCTGAGATTCAAAGGAAATCATTATCAGCTTCATTTTTGTTAGATTTTCTCCTCTTTTCAATTGTAGCTGTCAAAGTAACGTTGTGACAACACAAATGGTTACCTAATTAATTTTGTTCTACTATCCAGCTCTTATTTTTCTTATTTACAGCAGAGCAGGGCGGCAGGCACAGATAATAAAATAGAGAGGTGTTCAGTCTGTATTGCCAAGACAATTCATCTGAACAATACATGCTGTGCCCCTGGACTTCACAATAGCAGCAATTCAGCATTTTCACTTTTAAAGGGATATTTATAGTCAGGCCAGAAAGGTTATGATACCCTGAAGCAGTCTTTAAAATATTGGTTTGAGGATGGCTTTGTCTGCCATGTAATCAGCTCAGAGTCCAGTACCAGAGACAGCATTGTTTTGGTTTGTTGACTCAAACAGTTGTGGGATTAAAGTATTTTCAAACACTGACAGAAACTGTGAGTTCACTGTAAAGCTCTGTAAAGCCAAAGGGTGCTGCAGATTGAGCTCTTTTCATCACTCAAGTGCGAGCATCAAACATCAAAAGCATTTACAATACTATAACTATAAAAGAAAAGAAGGTAATTATAAAAACGTTCATTATAAAATAAAGTGGCTGTATCCTCAGTTTGGTTGGGGGAATCTCTGAGCTCTTACTGCCACATAATAATATACACTGAGGCAGTAAGTGGTTTATCAGTATCGCCTACACATACAACTTTTAAACTTTTAAATCAGATTGCTGTACTGATCACATTACATGACTGTCTGAGGTACCTTAGTAGTTGTTGTGCTTTTCACATAACATGAGTGATCGTCGATAGGGTGTCACTCATTACAATTATCTCACTAGTAGGAATCCCTGACAAGTATGTCTGGTCTCCAACCTACGATTAGTCAACAAAACACGTGAGTGATACGGGAAAAGATGCGTGAGACAGTCCTTTCCTAGCTAGCTAATGATCCAAGTTGTTTGTGTTCTGATTTGCGGTGAGCAACCCAACCAGTTTTCCATTTATTGGGTTGAAGCACACCGAGGAGCCTTTATCATAGCCAGGCTCGCCCCCGTATCTTGCTCTCTCATTGGCTTTAGGTTGTCGCTGCTGTCTTTGCAGGTCAATATAAATTTCACACAGCAGGATTTGGACTGATCGACTGGTCCAGATATTTAACCTGCTAGGTATCTCTCAGGCTCTGCCACACATCTCTCAGATTGCATCTTTTGAATTCTTTTTGGAGTGAATGCCAATTTGTCTCTGAGTGGGAGATCCTGAGTTTTTGTCTGCAATATCCAAGAACTGCCGGCGAGTGTAAAATCCGGGCTGAAATGTAAATTTGCCATATAGTAACTGTTAGCACCGCTAGCACAGTTGTGTCTGGTCCTCTCTCCATGTGTAGCAGTGTCATTATCTTGCAAACCAGCAGTTTTACCTCCTCCACTGTCCTCTACAATCCCTCTACAGTACATGTGCGCCTCATGGTCATTGAAGTGATTTTGATGCTGAATATTATTACAAGGTGTCAATCCTATGATATTGTTAGTATTGTATCATGCTGTTTGAACCATGCTGTGTATCCAATTCAAACCCCCATCCAACAGACTGACCTTCATGAAATACATCTTGTTTGATGTGTTCTTTTGATCTCTAAAATGAAAAAATCTCAAGCAGTATCAGGGAATCATTGTGTGTGTGTGTGTGTGTGTGTGTGTGTGTGATAAATGTGTGAGTGTAGGTCTTATACATATGTGTATGTGTTTGCATGCGTTTCCATGTGCTTGCGTGTGAGTACTTATATGCTTTTTATGTATGTATGAGTTGAAGCTGTCTATTTCTGGGTTGTATTTTCATTATCAAGGCCTTTCTGCTCATCATCCTCTGCATTTATAGCCTCTATTTCCCTAATCAGCACTTCCTTACTCCCTGAGCTTAGCCCGCTCCAACTATGAACACCTGGGACAAACAGTAAAACCCATTTCACTGCTTCTTTCACAGGAGACTTTTTATTCATTTAAGAGATTTATTTATTATTTTACTAGTAACCTATGATACCCCCAGTCGT